TCAAACAGACTCACTAACACACACACACACACACACTCAGTAAGACACACACACTAACACTCACACTAACACTCACTAGCAGACACACACTAACACTCACTCTAACACACACTCTAACACACTCACTAACACTCACTCTAACACTCACACACACTAACACTCACTCTAACACACACACTAACACTCACTCTAACACTCACACTAACACTCACTCTAACACACACACTAACACTCACTCTAACACTCACTCTAACACTCACTCTAACACTCACTAACACTCACTAACACTCACTCTAACACTCACTCTAACACTCACACTAACACACACACTAACACTCACTCTAACACTCACTAACACTAACACTCACTCTAACACTCACTAACACTCACACTAACACACACTAACACTCACTAACACTCACTCTAATACTCTCACACACTCTAACACTAACACGTTTTTTTTTTTTTTATTTAATCCCCCAGCCTCATTACCTTTTGGAGATTCCCTGGGGTCCAGTGGTGCTGCCGGGCTCCTGGGCGGGTGGTCGGTCGGTCGGGCAGGCGGGCGCGCGAGGGAGCACTCAGAGGGAGCTGAAGAGGGAGCACCGAGTGCTCCCTCGCGCGCACGCCCGACTGCCCGACCGACCGGCCACCCGCCTGCCGAGTGTCAGCAGGGCCAGCCTCGGGGGGCCCTGGGGTGGCCGGCTCCTGGGCCCCCCAGGGGAAGAGGCTGGCCCAGTGGGTACACACTGGGTCGCAGGGGCGGCCGGGACCCCTGGTGGGCCGGGCCCGGTCGCAGCCGCGACCCCTGCGACCCTGGTATGTACGCCACTGCATGCAAAGTATTAATAGGAGTTGAAGTTCTGCAACATCTGGGGATCTACCTTTTGGGCAGCCCTGTTTTAAGCTATGTGAAGGTTACTCACAAAAGTTTGAATGGGGCAAAACCATTCTTTGCAGAATGGATCCATTCGGCCTATCTGGACATTGTTCTCACTATTTAACAAGATCTGGATTATGCAGAGCAGGCTCCGAATGAGCGTGAATTTGGATGGCTAAATTTCAGGCCTGGATGTTTAAAAATAGTGCCTGGATTGTAAAAATCTAAACAAGTTTACCCAGGGAAAATAGTTAAAAAAAATACCCTCGACAGTGTGTGTGTTCTGTACAGTAGCAGCTGGCCAGCACATTATATTGACCCATCCATATGGGTCTATATAATATTAGTATTGACTCCCATTATAGCATGAGGGGGGTTTCAAACCATACTGCTGGTGGGAACACATCTACTTAAAATAGGGCAGTCAGTGGTCACTGTCCACCTCCACCCATGAGTTAAATATAACATAAAGGAGTGTACATGCCAAGCCCCTAGCCCCCTCCAACAAAATAAAAATCCCCTAAACGTATTACCATAAAACATATTTACCTTCATAAATCCTCTACCTAAGTCTTCCTTTCTTTAGCTCCAAAAATGTCATATAAAAATCCATTATTTCCCAATACTACCATTAAATATAACAAAAAGACCGGCATTGGATAAAAATTAGTGTGCCACATTTAAAATAACGCATTTTTACTTTGCGAAATTCATGTGCCAACTGATATTTCATTGTAGAGTGCTCTGATTAGTTGGCTTAGAAGCCAACCATTCAGTGAGCTCAGGCTGCCATTTCAAAGAATCAAAAAGACATCAAATAAATGAAAATGAAAAAAAAAAAGTGTCTGTTTTGCTGTTCTGTAAGCATTATTAAATTACGTTTTTTGCATAGGATTTTTGCATACCTATTGCTAGTGAATATATTTTCATATATGAAAAGTCTACTATTTTCCCAAATGTTTCTACAGGTAGAGGGATCGGGTCTGGATCTTTATTGCATGTAAAAAAAACGAGACCAAAAACAGACCATACACATGGACAGTATATACTTCCAGTGCACAATTACATTTCTTTACTCAATTTCCAATGACCTATAACAGCAATACAATTACAGTACAACCAATGCCATCAATAGACAACTGATCGTCAGTTGTCTATTGATTGCTTATAGAAGGTTGTAGTTGAGATGTAGAAATAAATTATTGATCAATTAATGATCAGTGGCATTTGAAAACAGAGCTTCTCATGTAAGAAAATAAAAAAAAGTTAACACAAATACTAGGTGATTTTAAATGGTTTATTCATTGGTGAAACTTCCAAAGAAGAGGCAATTTTCCTATAAGAAAGTGATTTGCTAATAAACTTTCTGATTGAACTGTACTTAAAGGGTTAGGCCAACCACCATGACCACTTCAGTGATTTGAAATAGTCATGGTGTAAGGAATCTGCATGTGCAGCTTTTCTGCTTGAAATGCTGCGCATACATAAAAATCTGCCAAGGGCTAGTTAAACTGCTGGCTCATGTGACTTACACAGCCCAGAACTATGTTTCGAACTGTCTAATGTCAATTCTGTGCATAAAATATGCCTGTCATCAACCAAAGGGCACTGCATGCCAGCAATGGATGAATTGAGCTTCTGGATGTCCCCTCCTTCTCTCAATATTCTGAGGCGTTCTTGTCTCCCTATCAGCTCAATATTGATGTTGTTCACACCAGAGCTGGGCATAGCTCTTTTAAATGAGTTCTTTACCTTCTACTATTATTTTACCCTCTGAATTTTATACGTATTGCAATACTAGCTGCCACTGTCTCCTTATTTTTCATATATGCGAATACCCTGAGAAACTAGGACACACCCACTTCTACTAAAAAGTCTACTCATCTATATCTCATCAAGCATCTACTGAGACTCTTTTGGACTATTTTATGCTATTTTATCTATTTATTATTTCTTACTGGCGCAGCCATACCCCATTTCTTTGTATTTTCCCATTTGTTGAAGGATTTGAGGAGTCTCCTTTGTTTGGGTTGCTGCCTATCCTCATATTGTTTGTTAATCAGCGCTGATTTTCTTTTGTATTCTATGTATTTAACTATGCATTTTTCCCAGTGCGGTATATCTAAAAACAGCTTGCAAGAGCTGCAGATCCCTTTGCAAGCCCTCTCTTTCTAACCCCACCAAGACTCTCTGTGGCTGTCCAGTCCCATTGCAGCTCAATGAGAAGTCTTTGCAAGGCAGGTTCTTTGAGCAATTGCCTACCTCTTGAGTTTAGCTCCACTGAGCTAAAGAACTAGGAAGTAACAGGACAGATTGTCTGATTGACAGCTAGCAAGGGGTGACAAGATTAATTAATAAAAGTGCAAATTCCTATTGAAATATGACATTTTTGTAAAATGAAAAAAAGAGGACACACTCTTTACATATAAAGCATTTCAGCAAGCTAAAGTGCTATAGGTGTTTGAAGTGTTCCTGTAATTACTAAAATGTGCCGTGATGGCAGTATGAGTGTTAACCATGGATGTGCAATAAAATTAAATTCTTTAAATTCTCCAGATATCTTTAATTTGTTAGTACAATTGTGCATACGAATTGCTTGCTAGACATCTGGTGTGTCAAGGTTAGCCATTTTATTTATAAATTCTCTAATCCACTTACTTTGGAGTTTGAGGAAAAGACCACCCACTGTCTTTATGATCACACCTTCAATGAATGGTCCCTGCATCAGTGATCACCTTCACTGACCAATGTGCTCTTCTCTGAATATCAATGAATGTAGCATAGCTGTGGAGGGCTTCCAGGTGTCTGCATATTAGTTGTGCATTTAGTATCAGAAGAACCACAAAATTACAGAAAATGATGGTGATTTAGTTAGAAAAAGAAAGAAAAACAACGGTTCTACAAATGTCACAATTTATTTTATTTATACAATATTTTCCTAGGAAGGACACATGGAGGGTTCTCGTTATAATGAACAAATGGCTCAATGACCATACATTGTTCCAACAACATCCTTTTATTTAGGTAATCGCGCACGTGAATTTCAGCCAATCACACGGATCCATCATCATGCAGTGCTATTTTGAAATAGTTTGAGTGTTTTTCAGTCAATGTCAAGATCCTGCAAAATTAGACCAATGTTGAACTTGTACAGCAGACTGTCTGACCCTCATTCCCTGTTCCTATTGGATCACTGAGAGTGAGACAGTGAGAACAACAGTAGAGCAGCATGTTAGTTTGTTGAATTGCAGTCTTTTAGCTAGCTAGTTCTGGAGCTGGTGACAGTACAGACTAAGCAGACAGATAGAATTAATCTTATCGACTGTAGATTCTGTCTCCATTTCCCAACATTTTTTTTTTTGTTAAACCAAAGGAAGGCACTAAGATAGGTAGTGTTGTGTCAGACACAGACAAACAGTCAGTCACTTAGAGGTAGAGCAGGGCTGTCTGTCTGTTGCTGAATTGTTATATAGTGCTTTTAGTTTAAGCCCTGTGAAAAACTGAACACTTTATTTTTATTTCTTTAAACTGTTTTGCAGGGACATAACTTTTAATTTTGAACAAAGGCTGAGACAGTGAACTAACAGAATTGTGTTGAGTCGAATTGTGTTCTTTGTTTAATTTTTCATAGTACAAGAAACGTACTGGTATTGTCAGATGTTAGTTTATGATATGGGGGCTTAGCTCTGTAAAGCTGTAGTTTATTAGCTGTTTTGAAGGGACAAATATATATATATAGTAGAAAATATAAAACAAAAGTGCATTAAAAAAAAAAAGTATAATCTACTTCATTCAGTGCACATACTTTATGTTTATGTTTAAGCAAGTTATGGTTTGTGTGTGTCATCCATTTCCAATTTTCAGTAATCTTTAAAAAAACGTTTAATAACGCTATTAGCAGTACCACCACAAGAATTAGACCAAGTAGGGGGGCGTGACCTGACTGAGCATTGTGCAAGACACATGTTAAACTAGGTCCGTACCCAAGGCCGAAAAACAGCTAGAAATCCCTTACAAATTTGAACATGGTGCACACAAAAATACACCTGGGCACCCCCTCGACTCAGGGGGGCTCCCCTCGTCAATGCACCGGCATCGGAGCTACGGGGCTGTGACCCAGGCAAAATAGCGCCCGCCTCCCCGAGCTCAGAGAGCACAGATGATGGTATACCAGATGGGACCCCGCAGACCGAGATCCTGACGCAAAGACGAACAGAATTGGCAACTATTTCAGACAGCATGCTCACCAGAGCACACTCCGAAGTGCTTATTCAGGAGTTCTGTCCGGCAATGAGAGAGGAGCTGGCGGGCCTGCGTTCGGACCTGACCACCCTTGACACACGTGTAGAGGCCTCAGTGGCACAGATCTGCCAACAGAGGCACAGAGCAACAGAAATAGCGGCAACACACCAAGGCAACATGTTGCTTACCCTCAGAAGACAGGTTGAGGACCTGGAGAACCGCAGCAGGCACCAAAACATCAGGGTACGCGGCCTGCCGGAGCATGATACCACACCAGTGGTCACCACCCTGGAAGCACTGTTCCAGCAAATACTTGGCCCAACAGCTCCTGCAGAGATGAAATTTGACTGGGCACATGGACCCAATTCGCCAAGATGGCAGTCCCAGAGATGTACTATGCTGCCTCCATGACTTCTCCCTGAAGAAGAGCATAATGGCTGTGGCCCGCGACACCCTAGCGATCACCTTTCAGGGTGTCACAGTCTCCCTGTTCCAGTACCTGTCGGATATGACAGTGGACACCAGAAGTGCCCTGCAACCAGTCACCAGCGCGCTCAGGGACAAGGTCATACCATATCGCTGGAGATTCACGTTTAGTCTCCAGCCATGCCATGGAAACACATGGCACTCACTCCGGTGGCCGAATGACGTCCCCTGCTTTATGAGAAAATTCTGTCTCCCTGCCCCCAGAATTCGCAGTTCGCTGATGGAAGAACCGACAGCCCCACAGAGGAATAGCACAGGTCCAGGTCCGTCGAGGCCACCGCAGGCCCCCCTCTCCTCCCAGGTGCTGGGGCAGACCAGCGGGAGTGGAGGAATAAGCATGCTCACACCACAACCATGGTTGCCGTGACTTACTCCTCAAGCTACCCTGACGCCGCCAGAGATGACTGACCAGGTACTGTGGGCCTCCCAATATTGGGTTTCCCCATATGGGTGGGCCCAGCACTGCTTTGGATGGGGGAAACAGAGCGGGGCGCCCCTACCTAATCCCCAACTGCACGGGACACGGCCGTTCACATCCATTTCCACATGCTGCCTAACACCGGGAGGCAACCCCTCTGTGCCCCTACTCCCAGCCCCATCTGACCCATGGAAGGTCCGAGGCATGATCCTCACAGGCCTTGACACTCCGGGTCTGGGAAACCTCCGCACACAGTGTTGCCAGCAACAGGGAACCGCTGCGGCCTAGAAACACACCTTAGTGGGCGGGGAGACCCTGTACCTGCAGGAGGCTTCCTTACTTAATGCCCTCACCCCACTGATGCTTGCTGCACTTTCCCCCACCTCCCCAACATGCACACAACCAACATTCCTCACCTCGATCCTAGATGGCTGGTGTAGCCACGATTGCATGAGGATAAGAACCGAGGAGACCAGAGAGCCAGTCTATTGGGTTAAAGGGAGGGTGTGAGGAGGGAGCCGTAGGGGGAAGGACGGCTGGGGAAACATGGGGGTCAGGGCGGGGGGAGAACGCACAGAGAACGATGGTCCACAGACAGACGGGAATAAGGATATAGATAGCGAAGGATAGGGAAGGATGGGGACAACCACTGACGGTAGAGACATGACCACACTACAGCTCAGAGGATAGGTGCACAGGTCAGCCCATCTACCCCATGGGATTACAGGGCTCAAAGGGGCTGCTCCCCAGCCATCTGCCATATTGACCCAGCACTACACCACCACAAGGATAATGGTGATCTCATAATATTGCTTAACTAAATACAGGCATAACTACGACAGTAACTGCATGAGCCTCAGACTCGTACCTAACGCACAACGATCATACCTAAGATAGCCCGCTTGTATGGCATTAGCCATGCAAGTACATCGCCATACGTTTGCAACAGCCCTGTGGCTGTGCTGATGGCATAGAGAGGCCCACCTCCACTCCTGTCAATATTAATCACACCTGCAACATGCGCAAGCCACTATTACGCTGCTCACCCGTTTCCCCTTCGTCTGCTGCAGGACCACCATGACCTACCCCCAAGAACACTAGACACCTGACCATATAGACCTGGTTACTCTGATCGGTGACACGGGCTGACCTTGAGGATACGAAACCGCCCACACCCATGGGGGGGGGGGCGCACCACTCCCACATACATGGCATCCATGGTAACCCAAGGCACACTGCTTCCCAGCCTGCTGAAGGGCCTGAACTCGGTCCTGGAGGGAGGACGATTCCCTAAAGACACGCTCAGCGCCATCATCGTGGTCATTCATAAGGAAGGGAAAGACCCATCACACTGTGCTAGCTACCCCCCGATCTCCCTCCTTAACCCAGACTTGAAGCTCTTCACTAAAGTCCTGGCACTGAGGATCGGAAGGGTGCTCCCACAGCGGATTCACCCAGACCAGGTAGGATTTGTACTTGACAGAGAAACCAAGGAAAACACAAAAGAGCACTAAACATCATACATGCTACCAAGAAGACAAATTAGCGATATCTCCTCCTCTTGGCCAACACAGAAAAGGCCTTTGACCGGGTGAATTGGGAATACATGCTGCTACGCACCCTGCAGACCATGTGCTTTGGATCACATATGCTGACATGGATTTCCTCCCTCTACACGGACCCCAGCGCACAAATAAGAATCAACAGTGCGCTCTCCCGACCTTTTATAATCCGCAAGGGGATGCCACAGAGGTGCCCCCTGTCTACCCTCCTGTTTGCCTTCTCTCTTGAACCTTTTCTGGAGGAAGTCAGAGGGGATGGGGGCATAGCGGGGTTCACAAGCTAATGTACAGTGCACAAAGTCGCAGAGTATTCCGATGACCTGCTCTTCTTCCTTAAGGATCCTCTGGTCTCCCTCCCAAACCTCCTATGAGGCTTCGACACATACGGATGTCTTGCAAACCTGAAATTGAACCTGGACAAGTCCGAAGCCCTACTGCTCACTATCCTGCAGATGGAGGTTGCGACACTAAGTTCACAATTCCGGTTTAAATGGTACACCCGTCACATAAAATATCTGGGTATCAGGTTGACCAAGGACCTTACACAGCTCTACTCCGAAAACTTCACACTCATACTACGGATTCTACAGATGGACCTGAGGAGATGAGAAGGTCTCCACATTTCTTGGTTTGGCCAAATTAACGCCATTAAGATGAACATGCTGCCCAGACTGCTTTACCTATTTCAAACCATTCCAATTACCATCCTGAGAGCCTTCTTCCAGTCCTTCAGCTCACTCCTGATGCAATTCGTGTGGAAGGCCAAAGCCCCTAGGATAAAATTATCGCACCTGCCCATGCAGAGACGGCTTGGCGGGGTGGGCCTCCCATCCCTTAAGACGTATTATCGGGCAACACACCTCTTGCGACTCACAGATTGGCACGCAAAAGACACACAGAAATTATGGATACCGCTTGAGAAAATCCCAATGAATGGCACCACCACTGCTCTACCATGGACGACCAATCCGCTAAAGAATCCTGCTGCTTGTAACCACCCCCTCATCAGCGCAACCCTCAAAGTATGGTGTTCAATTCGATGAACATTACAACTATCGTCTACACCCTCACCTATGGCATCAATTACTCATAATCCAGAGGTAGCGGGGGGCCTAACTCCCCCAGATTTGAAGAGGTTAATGACCACAGACTGGGTATATTTTCGTCAGTGGACAGACGGCTCAGTTCTCAAACCCATCAATGCGCTTATTGGGGAGGGAACCCCCACTGGACTCCAGACATACCGCTACCATCATATAATGCAACATTCCAACTCCCTGCCAGGTGCATACTTTCTACACATAGAGCCCACGGCATTCGAGGCCCTCTGTATCGCACAACAGCTCTTAAGCCATGGCATCACACTCCTCTACGCACACCTCCTAACAGGCACCAAACCAGCCCCAATGACCTATATGTCAGCGTGGGAAATGGACACAGGGATCACACTGACAGACAACCACATTTCTAAAATTAATATCAGGAACTATAACTTTACTGAGAGGGTAGTGGATGCATGGAGTAGCCTTCCAGCTGAAGTGGTAGAGGTTAACAGCATGCGTGGGATAGGCATAAGGCTATCCTTTACTTAAGAAAAGGCCAGGGACTAATTAAAGGTATTTAAAAATATTGGACAGATGGGCCACATGGTTCTTATCTGCTGTCACATTCTACGTTTCTATGTTTCTAAATGGGAAAAGGTACACGAACTAGCCCACCAAGGAACGGTTGACACTAAACTACAGGAACTCAACTTTAAGATCATCACCCTCTGGTATAGAACCCTGACCAGATTTCACATAATGTTTCCTGAGCACCCAGACCTGTGTTGGAGATGTGAGCAAGCACCCGGAGACACCCTACACCTCTGGTGGTCATGCATGTTAATCGTGCAATACTGGCAGAAGATACATACCCTGATCAAGGATATCCCGGACACCGACATTGAGCTTCAACCACTACTGATGCTGCTCAACCACACAAAGCTTCCCTCCTACAAGAAAAGCCTGACAAGGCACCTCCTAAACGCTGCCAATGCAGCAAAGTGGGGTAAACCAGAAGCACCCATGATTAATTAATGGATGGACCGAGTAGAGACAATACACGGAAAGCCTCATTGCAGACGTCAGGGGTAACCCAAAATGACATGCCTTACAATGGACCCCATGAATCGCCTATACCTCCCGCAGAGAAGGCGGATACCAACCGCAGGAAGATTGACCAGCCAAATACAGAAAACCTAATTGACAGGAGGGCACAGCTCAGATCCATTGAGGGAGGATAGGAGAAGCGGCGGGCCTTGGAGGGACCAGGGGAGGGGGTGGACCCGTGTTCCGCTCGCAGGAGGATGCGTGGGGAACTTCCCCAGGACATGGCTCGGAGTGTCAGAAAGCCCCGCCCCCCTGGAGAGTCCGAGAGCCCTCCCTCTCCTTCCTTGCTCTCCTCTTACTTTTCTCTCCTTCTTCCTTCCTCCCGTCTCTCCCTCCCAACCCGTAATAGTGGTACTACAACAAGCAAATTAATAAAAAGCAGCAGCAGAGGCACTTCAATGGAGCAACACTAGATTCCCCATTTCAAGTCTACAGTGCATGGGGAAAATGTGGGAACATTTTTATACTGTGGGGGGTGGGTGTTTGGCAAAATGCAGACTGTGTGGCAGGGAAATTAGCATGGAGAGGGTTTTGGGACATTTGACAAACACAGGGCTGATCAAAATCACAAGGCTGTTCTGTTACATCACAAGGCTGATCTGTTGCAGGAG